TTAACCATTTTAGCGGTGCTTGATCTGTAATAATGGTAAACTTTCTGCCGTATAAATAACAATGGAAGGTTTTTAATTCCATGTACTACAGCTAAGCACTCTTGTCAAGCCTTCTTGAATATTGTGACACGTTTTATTCATTCTAAAGGCTTATTGTTGGATACAATATATTATGTTAATTAGCTCACAAGCCTTCTTGAATATTGTGACACGTTTTATTCATTCTAAAGGATTATTGTTGTATATAATATATTATGTTAATTAGCTCACAGGCCTTCTTGAATATTGTGGCAAGTTTTATTCATTCTAAAGGCTTATTGTTGGATATGATACATTATGTTAATTAGCTCACAAACCTTCTTGAATATTGTGACACGTTTTATTCATTCTAAAGGCTTATTGTTGGATAAAATATATTATGTTAATTAGCTCACAAACCTTCTTGAATATTGTGGCAAGTTTTATTCATTCTAAAGGCTTATTGTTGTATATAATATATTATGTTAATTAGCTCACAGGCCTTCTTGAATATTGTGACACGTTTTATTCATTCAAAAGGCTTATTGTTGGATACAATATATTATGTTAATTAGTTCACATTATTTCATAGATTAATGCAGTTTTTGTTTAGTTAGTGAAATGGGTGTCTTTATATCAGACAAAAGCGTATATATACTAAAACAGGTTTCCATAGCCTTCGTAGTTAGGGGTTTGAATTTTTATATGAGATAGCATCGTAGTCTCGACATCGGATCTACATTTATTGTCTACACTCACTATGGTAACGGTTTCGTTTCTCCCAGCTAGAACAGAACCTGAACGAGCTATTGGATCGAGTGCCGCACCACCTACAGGAACCGGTCCAAAGTCTACTTAATGTTGATCCTACAAAACGAACCAATGCTCACGACTTTGCCATGGTACTTGTAATACTTTTTGTTTGTTCTAAAGTCACTCAGGATAAGGCTTAGCTGATCCTTTAACTTTGATTTCATTTTGTTACTGCCATTAGTGTAGATTTTGGTTTTGAAAAACATTGTTTTTTTAAAACTGATTTTCTAAAAATGTAAAAATGGAGAAAAGAACAAACTCTTTTGAGGGGTGGGAAGCTGTAAACTTTAAATAAAGGTATCTTAAAAAGGTTTATTTTTTTATTTCAGATCAAGTATTTTATGGACCCTTCAGTTCATGCCCTTCAATATCTGGACGTCATTCAGATGAAGGACACCACCCATAAATCTCATTTTTATCACAGTCTCAAGGGGGCGCTACCTAACATACCGAGGGTAAGACTTGCCACACTCATGCTGGTTGGCACTGTGTTTTAGCTAATTATATGTTTGTTTGTTTGTTTTTGAATTTCGCGCAAAGCTACACGAGGGCTATCTGCGCTAGCCGTCCCTAATTTAGCAGTATAAGACTAGAGGGAAGGCAACTAGTCATCACTACCCACCGCCAACTCTTGGGCTACTCTTTTACCAACGAATAGTGGGATTGACCGTCACATTATAACGCCCCCACGGGCGAGCATGTTTGGTGTGACGGGGATTCGAACCCGCGACCCTCAGATTACGAGTCGAGTGCCCTAACCACCTGGCCATGCCGGGCCGCTAAGTATATTGTGAGAAGGCAGTAAATATTTTATGTATTCGTTCTGCCCTCTACAATAAGGTAAATGTTGTCTTTAATACTAAAAATATACAAGTAAGTGATTCAAGACATCCAATTTTCCACCTTGGATACAAATGAAAAAAAAATACTACCATCCTTAAACTTTCTGGTTTTTTTTTCTTTTCTTTCTTCTTTTCTACCGGTTTCGTGAGTTTATGGTCCACTCTTCAGAACGTAGTTTTAGATATAATCTATTATAAAAACGTTCAAATACTACTTTTAAATTAAACATCCATGGCTAGCATCCTGTTGTTGGATAACCCTGTCCCTTACTTTGCTACGTCATGAGAAAGAAACGATAAGAGTAGCCTAAGTGTTAGCGGTGGGTGCTTTTAACTAACTGCCTTCTCTCCAGTCTATCAGTACACAATTGTGGTGCACTTAACATGCAAAATGTTGAGTACTAAAGATATTTACTTTGAACACATTGCTGCCAGGTTTAGATACGTGGCTCCCTCTAGACTAGTGTTTGTTAACACGCAAAGCATTTCTCTTTAAAGAATGTAGTTTTCTCCAAAGTGGCTAATCAAATTATACATCACTCCTAACTACAAGATGTACAAGTAAAGTATTTCAAAATCAGTCCTAGCTAAAACATGTACAAGTGAAGTATTCTAAAATCAGTCCTAACTAAAACATGTACAAGTGAAGTATTTTAAAATCAGTCCTAACTAAAACATGTACAAGTGAAATAATCTAAAATCAGTCCTAACTAAAACATGTACAAGTGAAATAATCTAAAATCAGTCCTAACTACAATATGTACAAGTAGAGTATTTTAAAATAAGTTCTAACTAAAACATGTACAAGTGAAGTATTCTAAAATCAGTCCTAACTAAAACATGTACAACTGAAATATTTTAAAATCAGTCCTAACTAAAACATGTACAACTGAAATAAACTAAAATCAGTCCTAGCTACAATATGTACAAGTGAAATAAACTAAAATCAGTCCTAACTAAAACATGTCCAAGTGAAATAATCTAAAATCAGTCCTAGCTACAATATGTACAAGTGAAATAAACTAAAATCAGTCCTAACTAAAGCATGTACAAGTGAGATAATCTAAAATCAGTCCTAACTAAAACATGTACAAGTGAAATAATCTAAAATCAGTCCTAACTAAAACATGTACAAGTGAAATAATCTAAAATCAGTCCTAACTACAATATGTA